AACTGTTTTATCAAAAGGTGTTTGAAACTCCTGAGTTTTTAAAATATTATTGTTACAAATACAATATAGTTGCATTTCTATTGTTTATTTTCAGGTTTTTCATAAAAATTTATGCTTAAATAAGTTAAATCTTTCAAAATAACTTTGAGGCGCAATTTAATTTTTGATTTGATTTTTTTTATGTACTGTACAGCGTGTCGTTACCATCGCGACAATAAATGAAGACACGTCTAACGCTACTTGCCAATAATCTTACAAAAATATTAACGTTAAACAAAATCCATAATTAAAAAAAAATATTTTTCAAACAAACTAATAATAATAATCCTATACAACTCGCGCCACAGCGTCGTATGACAAGCCTCTCCTTCTAACAGTATGTTTTGTCTCTTTTAAATTCATTCAACCCATTCATATGCGTTGTGACTTTTAACAAATGAACTTTACGTTACGCTTTTATAGGTAAGGATGTTCTAAAATTCTTTGTTTTGGAAAATTTAATAACTCTGTAAATATTGACGTTTTAAGAATTTAAATGTTTAATACAACTTTAAAAAGTTATCCCCTATATGTGTGTTCATTTTTATTGTCGCGATAGTAACGACACGCTGTATATATTGATATATCGTTATTTATTATAATTTATAACAATAAGTTTATTATATCTCTTATCTAACCAGTTTCATTCATAAAATCGCAGAAATAAAGTATTTTATATTTTTGTCGCACCTTAGTATGGGCGGGGAACCACAGTGCACTGTGCGTTTTTCGCGAAATTTTCTACTACGCACAACTACTTTGTGGAACGAGTTGTCGCCAGCGTTATTTCCAGACCGATACGACTTAGGGACCTTCAAAAAGAGAGCTTATTCCTACCTTAAAGGCCGGCAACGTAATTGGGACTCAACCGATGTTGCAAATGTCCATGGCCGGCCCCCTTTTCCCATAAAAAAAATAAGTAGTGATAAACCAATTAATATCATCATTATTGAGAATTGATTCGAAAACAGTTCGTTTTCCTTGACTTGACTTATCCTTAATTTACAATTTAGAGACGACTACCACGAAATCTAACTGCCCTATTTTATATTGTAATTAATATTAAAACAACCCGCCATTTTATTGACTTGAATACAAATAAAATTACACAATCTTTAAGTACTAACTAAGGCTAACATGCTTACCCAAATAGCGAAGAATGTCAATTTTCGAAATGGATAGATTGACAGAAACTTTTATTTTTTAATCGATTTATTATTTGTAACTGGTATGCTTGAAATTTAAAGATTTTAAGTACTTGGTTAGATAGTAAGTTACAATTTTTAATAAGTATCAATTATCAAGAGGCCCCGTAAAGCCCAACAGACGGAGACTTACAACAATTAAACTCGACAAAAAGTAGAAAGTGGTCTTGTTTTAGAAAAAAATTGATTGAGTTTGTCGAAGATCATTTCACTATGTAAAGCTAAATTTTAAGCTAATCCAAAATTAAGCTCAGCTCTATCCGATTCGGATAGAACATAAATTTTTCTTTATTTTTTCATGTTATAAGTAGTCAAGCGAGCAGGCAGTTCGCCAGATGTTAAATGAATATTGCCGCAAAATGGATATCTACAAGATCGATGGCTTGCTGATGCGTTGACAACCTTTACAAAAGTGGGCCCTTTTTTTGATGTCGGGGGGAAATCTTCAAAAGACACCCTGTTATCTTACATGACAGGGTTATGTGGGGTCTGTGACAGGGTTGGTTGAAGTCCTATTCTATGAGCCCGGAACTACAGGGCTGACAAAAGTGGGCCCTGGACACCTCACTCACCAGACGAAACGCGAAAGTATGATACTTTCACTACACTCTGATTTTCTGCTAAGCGAGCCTACCATTTGTGCTACAGAAGCAGGAAACACACTAGAAACACATTAGTTCGCCCTCGCCTCCGAGCACGGCGAGACCAAAACAACGCGTACACAAGGTACACCCGCGTTCCGGGGCGGTTCTCACCGCCCCCAGCCACCGATTAGCTAATTGCACAGTCGACGGCAATCGGGGTTTCGGTCCGAACCGCGACCTCGATGGCCCTTAGATGACACACCATAGTTAAACGCACACATGCGTGGCCCTACCCACAGCGGAGGGCCTAAACCCGTGGGTTCTGGCTAGCCCACCGGTTCGGCGTCAGATGAAGCTTTAATAGTCTCGGGACTGAAAGAAAAAACATCAGTTAATACAAGATACAAGACAAGAAGCAGTTGCGCTAATATTCAAAGAATTATTCTATTTATTAGAAATTATTGATTAAAGCTCCTGAATAAGAAAATTGTGATTTACATATTTGCTTTTGGTATTCTGTATCTTCTAACATAAAAAGTCGCGAATTGCCACGTCAAGTAAAGTAACAGCCTATAAATGTCCTACTGCTGGGCAAAGGCCTCCTCTATACAGAGGGTATCAGGGAATAGTCCACCACGCGGCCCCACTGCGGATTGGCGGACTTCACATATATTCGAAATATTTTTTTTGTTATTATTTCGAAAATATGCAGGTTTCCTCCCGATGTTTTCCTTCACCGCGGAGCATGTAATAAGACAGCACTTAAAGTTAAAAACTTCATTGGTGGCGGCACCGGGGATCGAACTTAGGTTGCTCGAGTATATTGAATTAAAGGCGAGCGCCCGGACACTGAGCTATCACGGCTCTACTTCAAGTATTAGCATAAAATGGATGTTATTGATTATTCTTCTTTAAATATTTTTTTTTCTCAAATTCTACACGCATATACGTCTCAAAACGTTCTTTTTTATAAATTTTGCATGAAACACGAAACAAAAATGCAATATTTTTTTTTATTTGAAAACCAAACAAGGTTTTTCTGGCCGCTCATTTTTTTCGCAGTGTCAATTGTAATCTAGAGAAACACGTATCACTGTCAAGAAAGTGTCTTGTATGATTCTTACTGTATTAAACGTACGTATGTACGTTTTCGTAATGGTCTGTTAAAGTATATAATATATGAAGCACATAACAAATCTTTAATGATTTTTTTAGATATAAAACCTCCCTCTTACATTATTGAAACTCCATTACACACAGACAGACTACCAATGATGTTTCAATAAAGATGACGCGTGTCCATAATGCGCGGCGTTTAAAAATTATTCCGCTTGACATTATGTGACGTAGGTATATAAGTGAATGTGACAGATGATATAGAACATATGATACGGTAAGAGATAGCAGTCTATAAAATCAAAATAAACTTAGTGATTACATTCTTTTTGTATAAAATAACAATCTAATTATCACCGACAAAGTCGTTGGGTACTATAGTACTACGAAAATAACATATCAATTAGCGTAATTTGTGTGCCTTAATTTCGGTGCCCTAGTGTCATAATATCTACTTCGTATTTTTTTTATTGATATAATATTTGCAATAATTAATCTATCTAATTAAAAATTACATATTATCCAATAAACCTAATTAATCCACGCGGCATGGTGCCAAGAACGCTAGCTGCATTTCCTACTTAACCTTTGAGCGAGAGAAGAACCAGCTCTCTTTTCACCAGCCGCGGCATTAAGCCTAGGACATAAAATTTTAAAAACTTTTAACTTTGTATTTGTATATAATATCATTGACAGATTACATACAGAGCGTATTAATTGAGACATTTCTAGACGTTTAACTGTCATGAAAAAAATCATAGGTAAAATTATAAGTAATGATAATAAATTTTCCTTTCTAAATTATCATATGTTAATAAAAAATGTTTTTCAACAAAATTATATGTCTGATCTTACTGAGCAAACATGTTATTAATTATTCGACGAAGAGCCAAGTCGCTGCTCCTATGTATTACGAGGGAGATTTGAACAATTCCGATAATCGTTTAATTGGCAATTGCTTGGCACATGGTAGGCAAATATTAATAAATATTTGCTAAATCAAAACGTATGTGGTAAATTATTTACGATTAAAAGGCGTTAAGAGTAATAATTTCAAATTAGGGCTGTAATGAACGGCAATTTCAATGTCATAGAGAAGAAATGAACACAAAGGTTTTCACGCAATTTTCGACAAAATGTTTTTTTTTTCTTTTTCGGATAAGCTTTAATGTTATTCGGCGTATAGCGTGACAGAGCATGCATCATTACATTCAACGTTTTCCATAAAAACCAAATATTTAATATTATAGCTTGTAGTATAGATATAATAAGACGTGATCCCTTTATATTCTTTATGCAAACTGCAGTTTTGTATTGATCAAACTTTTTTTCAGATGAAGTAAATAGATTTATTGCGGGCCATATATCAGAAGAACAGCTTGCAGATTTGCTGTTAGCAATTCTGCGAACTCGAAATCAAAAAACTCAACAGCATAAGCAACATTCTGAATCTACCTCAATTACTACAGACGCAACAGTAATTTGTAATAATAAAACGAAAATGGGTAGGGGCGTTGAAACTGTTATAGAGACTGGTCCAAACAACATTGATTTAAAATTTATTGTTAAGGAATCAATAAATTCAAAGGATCAAAATTTAATTACAACCACATCTACAGATCCGTCAGCAGTTAGAAAAAAATGTGATATAGGCATTTTCGATAAAAAATATAATAAATTTTACTCCCACAGACAAAAAAATATGGAATCGAATGCTTATAAAGAGACACAATGTAAGAGTGCACAAACTAATATAACACAAATGCGATATGAGGGTCATGATCGAAATTTCATAAATTGTATTGATGTCAGGAAAACAACAAACTCGACTGCTCCTGTAGAAAATTTTCGGTTAACATCACCGATTGCCCCATTCGATGATACTACAGCCTATACTGAAACAATAAATTTAGTTCTTGACGCCATCAAAGCTTTGAAACTAGTAAAATCTTCTGTCACAGAGAGTGCTGTTAGAGACAAAGCAACAGATACAGAAGCCCATATGATGCTAAAAAAAGAACCTGTGAGAAAAAATGCGAGCTCCGACTTCGTCGGAATGCTATCACTTCTTGACTTGATGACAAATATAATATCCGAAAGTAAAGAAAAATCGATGAGAAGCCATGACAAAGCACCGTTCAGGAGATCTGCACCGACTTGCCAGTACATCCCCAACTATGCATCGACGCCGAAATACAAGCCGTTCAATTACACGGGGACATTAGTGACCTCGGTTGTTCACAAATTTTCTATACAATCTATATGCGAGATAATATTTCAGCTTTCACAGTCCACTGCTGTTCTTTGTTATGCCCGATAGGTGCCTACTGTAAGTACGTTTGCTAGTCATTGCAGTTACTGTTAAAGTTCCAAGTATAGATACAATTGTTTTATACCAGATTCCTTGATCTCAAAATTTTTGAATTTATGAAGGCAGCAAACCAATAAATACTCTACTACAAGCAGCTTATTCCTTTTCTGTTCAAATCTCGACAGTGTTACGTCTGCGGATTGGAGGAGCACGAAATACCCACAAACACTCTATGCGAGGACGCTTTCTCGAACGGTGATTCCTTTCAAGAGTATCAATACAGATTTAAGAAGAATTGCCGCTACGACCACCACACGTAAGTTTTAATAAGTCTATCAAATTAACTTAAGCCTATACCTAAATATAATCGAACGGGTGGACTATCTTTAATATTGTATACCCAACAAAAACAATACGCGATCATGCTTGGATGCAGATTACAAAAAAAAAACGAGTTTGAGGTAAAAATATCTGAAACTAGCTGGTAACCGCGGCTTCACCCGCGCGGCCAAAGGGAATTAATAATGAGTTTTTATTATACACCAGAATATCTCGCAGATGGCTGAATTTTTTCCTACTTAGTCAACACTGATCATTACCTATATTTTGGACAATTCACACAATATCTTTATAAATAGCCTTTGTGTTATTCTGATGTACCTTTAAGATATATAATTGTAAAGATTCATTAAAATCTATTCAGTCATTTTTGTGTGAAAGAGTAACAAACATCTATCAATACACACAAACTTTCGTCTTTATAATATTATAATTATTATATTGCATTATATAAATATATAGTAAGGATTTGGCAAAAACTATCAGTTTTATATAATAGGTTTCTTATGAATATTTCATATCACCATGTTAAAATAGGTCAACTTTGGAAAAAGATTTTGCTTCTACTGACTTACCGTTTCTATGTGGAATTAATTATTCATTATGATCATCACAAATGAGAGTTGTATCTTAAATACACGTTCGCGCTAGCACCACGAGAAGCTATATAGCCTTTGGCTTTGACAAGAATTCTGTCTGATGATCTTCCAGTACCAATTACTGCGCGGACAAACACGACCCCTACGCGGTGTGGGGTCGCTGGACTGGAGGCTGTTCCGTGCGAAGAATGGACATCAGCGGCATCTACACGCAGAGGACCTGCAGGAACCGGTGGACGCCCACCATGGGCAACCATTTTGCCAGCCAGCGAATGGCCAAGCTCGAACTCGGACTCAGTGTAAGTAAAACCAGCGCAAACAATTCGTCTTTTAGAAATATAATAATAAACTTTATGTTAAGAAAGTGTTAGTTCAGCTTAAAACCCTTCTCGTATTCAGAGATGTCATCTATGACATGACAGTTGTAAGACAACCTAATGTAAAAAACCTAGCTATTCTCTCTCATTCTCGTTTACTTGGTTGTTTTATGATCCATGATAACTCAGTGTGGGCGCTCGCCTTTAATTCAATTTACTCGATCAACCTGAGTTCAATCCCCGGTGCTAGCACAAATGAAATTGAAGTGCTGAATTATCACGTGCGCAGCGGTGAAGGAAAACATCGTGATGAAACCTGCGTATTTTCGAGAATATGTAAAGTTCGTCAATCCCCAGTGGGGTTGCGTGGTGGACTATGCCTTGATACCCTCTGTACAGAGGATAGCTTTGCCCAGCTGTGGGAGATTTATAACTTTACCTTATTTTACGATTCAAAAATATTGAAAAAATCACAGGCAAGTCAAATCTTGCAAGGCAAGTTAACTTATTAATGTCAAAATCTCCCTCCGATCCCCAAATTTAAAAATTCTTTCAATATCTTTTCTTTTTATAACTCTTCTTTCTTCTTCATCAGAATTTTTTTTCTGTTACAGGACATCGATGACGGTTGCATTCTGAGCCCAGGCGCTTCTTTAATACCACTGTCGCGCAGCGTTTCTCTATATGCCCGCTTCACAGCCTGCGTTTGCAGCGGCGATTTTTGTAATGTCGGTATTCCCTGTTGTGTACCTTCATACGAAATTTGTGGTGCGATTTGTATAATTCCAATATTACTTAAGATCCTCACTTGCTGTTAAATTTCGTTAAAAAGTCATGTGAAACGCGTTTAGTTAGGTTTCGTCTATTAATGAATCCGTAAGTGAAAGTCCTATAAGTTAAATCCTATTGTAAGTCTCAATTTAACATTTTTTTTTTCATATTTATGTTTTATTATGAAACAATTTATATTTTCTAAAGCATTTAAAACACTGTATACACACACACAGAGACACAACAGTGTATATGATATGCTTGGTATAAATAAACGAATTAAATACATTTATATATCTTTTTAATATTTATATTTTTACTACTAAAGGTACGACTAGTAGAATAACAGGACTCTACACCACGAATATCGAAAGTGAAGCATAGTAAGTACATTATGCCTCACGCATACATTTACATCATAGTAAGCCGATAACGAGTCATTAAGCAGCAGGACGCGCGCGGCGGGCGTCAATGTAGGTTCTGTTTACGTCAAGTAATAAAAATAAAAATTATTTTTAATTATTTATTTGCAAGTATTTATTAAGATTAGAGATGAAGACTATTAATATGTACCTAGGTACTATAAATTCAAATGCAAACGATTTGTATATCACGAAAAATTAACAATATAGTAACGAGAGATAAAAACGGTAAATATTAATTGAAATGTTAGAAAAGTTTATATAAATAGGAATAGAATGTATATAAGAAGTAGGAGGTTTACTCGCAGTGAATATTTTCTTAAGCATAATTGTCTGATTTTGATTTTTGTATCTAATATAAATGTTTGTCTACCGTGTCCGAATACTAAGGACGTGAAACATTATTCAGTTGTTCTCCAATTTAACTGTAAAGTTTAGTTTTGCGACGCACGTTATACTTACGTTATAATATTGCATTTTAGCAAACTTTTCTACTAAAAAAGGAAAAAGTTTTTATAGTCAAATATAAATTTGTCTCCCTAGTTGTAATTTGCTCAAAATTCATACCTAACTTTTCCTATATTTTCGCAAACCTTGTTACTCGCTGCAATACATGTTAACGTTCCTCCATACAAACGAGACAGAGTCATAAAATATCCTTTGTTATCGCTGAAAGACTGCTCCGAAATAATAATTCTGAAAGACTGACGTTCCCGGGGAACGCTCTAAAAATAACAATATCTCGTAATGTATTCGGAGCGGGGAAATTGCATCGCTCGGGGAAAACAAAATGGCCGCCCAGCGCCCACCTGTTTGCGTCACTCGTCATTGGTCGAGTCCGCAGGCGAGGAACACCCCACACCTACGATTGTGGAAATGTACCTAGGTGTTACAGGGTTGGAAAACGGTCTTTTACATATTTATGCGCGAACTTATATAAACAATATACTACCTATATGGCTGTTACCCTTACGCGAAGGCCTTTAAGCTGAAATTAGAAAACTTGGGAGAAATTTTATTATGGAAACCGGTCGACTTTCAAATATAAACCTGGCAATATTTAGTATCCGTTTGTGAGAGTCTTAAAAGTTTTTTTTTTTAGTTCGTAGATAAGCTTATCAAATAAATGGGCATTTTCACAAAGTTTTGTATATAAATTATTCTTTTCTTTTATATGCCAATAACGTTAATTTCTGTGCTAGATCAACAATAATTTTTTTTGTTTATATAATAAGTAATGCACAAATCACTACAATCTTCAACACGACTAATTGAGTACGAAGTAGGGTTTGGGTCCCCGAATGTCTAACAATAATAAAAATTTTAATTAATCGTTTATACGTATTTATAGTAATTCTCGTATTTTCGTGTATTTCTTCCCGAAATTCTTATCCTCATGTCTTCTTTATTACTACATTTTATTTTACGGCTATTGTAAACGACAAGTGAGACAAGTCAACAAATCAATTACCTAATACATTGAATCTTAAAAACAATGACAGCAAAATTAATAGTAGATATCTGTAATTTGCCATTGATTACGCGTGGCCAAAAATACTGTGCTTTTCTTCAGCGAACAGTGTTGACGATCAAATAAAAGCCTGTGTAATGTCAAGGAATGAACGAAAAACAGAGTGGGAATAGTGGTACTTCCATGAGCTTCTATGCACCAGTGTAATGTTCTATGTAAAAGCTAGGCAGAAAGGACAAAAGAGCTGTGTAAACTTCGAAGAAGTTACCGCTGTACTCAGAGGTAGCCAGGAATAACTGGTCTGGTGATAAGACTACGTTACTTTACTTTAACTGATGTTTTTACTTTCAGTCCGTAGACTTCAGCTAGGTAAGCTTCAGCGAACGCAGAACTTGTGGACTAGCCAGCATTAGCGAGCTTGTTACCCTGCTCGTTTAAATGGGAAGAATGTCACCTATGGGCCATTGAGAAAAGGTACGGACATGACTTTTTAATAGTAGGCTCGGTGTTGTGATAACTGCCCTAGATGCAACATATGTAGGTTTTGGGTTAGTTTAGGTGAAAGCGAACTAGTTCGTTGAGTCTTGCAACTCTGAGTGGGTAAAGTATTGACTAGAGTAAACGCTATCATCGGCTTTTATGTTATATCAAGAAGTATAAACGGAAGCTAAAATGAGGAAGTCAATGTTTCTGGTTTTTTCTGAGAACTTTAGTATAATCTGTATCTTTGTTACTGCCCGCTGTCCAGGGGTCCGCTCCCCACGGCGCTGACCACAACGCTATCCGATACTATCGCGTTAATTAGATAGAGATAGTTAAGTTTTATTGCACTCCCAAATTGAGGAGGAAATTCGATCTTATCGCGGAGTCTGCTTCTCTGGTCGAAATAACTACACCCATCGCCACTCTCAATTTGATTAATGTTTGTTTTATGTAACACGAGATTCGTAGAGTTGTAATGAAACCGTATTATTGTTCCGTACTTGTCTGAGGTGGTCATATCTATTAAACAGAATAGTATGCATAAGTTAGATATAATTATAAATAATATTCGAAAATACTCTACACACACTAATCCAATTGAAATCAATTTATACATATTTCGCCTTATTGCCTACTGTCTGTAGTTGATTATTTTAATTAAAAACTAGTTAATGCATGATTTAATGGTAACTGTTATTTTTCACTTTTCTCTTGAATACACGCATGATTTTCACATCGTTCAAAAATTACAATCGTTTCATCTCAGGACTTATTTTGCGAACTAGCGGACAGAGTGTACACTTACATAATTGAAAAAATAGCAACTTTCCATTAAACATTAGCTACACTTAATAATCTATCGCAATACATATTGATATCGACGATGGCATCAGTTAAAGTGCACTAGTCTTGAAGATAGTCCTCAATGTAAATAGACATAAAAATAATGCATTCGCATTAGGGTGGACTTCGGCAGTAAAAATCTATCGAAGTGTAGCCCAGCATGCCGGCTCCGTTGAAGCGTGCCTCGTTAAATGGCGACCCGTCTGCCTTGAGCGGTAATTTTTATTTATGTGCTACTTTATTGAGTTATCCACGGAGCGGTCTATCCGCGAACATTTGGCGGAAAGGGAAACTCGTTCGGTCCTCGGCGGATTGAGATTTAAGGGCTTTTAAACTTGGAACGTTTCCGTATCACTTAGCTAATGGGCTGGCGCCATTTTCAATTAATACATCGTTTAAAATAGTGATTTATAACTCTATTTGCGCAACGAAAACAAGCCCTGTTTGGACGGCGGAAATTTTATAGTTTTTATTCTACTTTAATTTTCGTAGCAATAAACGAATAACAACCGTGAACAACGAACTTAATTCCTTTTTTTCCTATTTTGAGATAAACATGCAATTAAAAAGTAATCATGACATTTGTCATATATGAAAAATCGACTAAACCCATTTCGCTGACTGCTAGATTTAAAAAATTGTCGCATTAACATAATTACATGTTAGTACAACAGATGAACATAAGTACAAAAACATAAGTACAATAGATGTGCCAAGCATTGCTTCAAATGCTAAATAACAATGTAGAAAGAAGGAGATTCTCGTCGCTGTGGCTATCAGCCGTTTAGCTCAGTGGCTAGAGCGTCAGGCCGCGAATGCCGAAGACGTGGGTTCGATTACCACAGCGGTGACAATCTTTTCGTACTTTTTCTACATGTTTTAATAATTACATGCTGTGGAATAGAGAATAAAAATTATTAATTGACTAAAAGGACCAATCATGCTCCATTTATTTAAGAAATGAGTGACGTATAATAGGTTCAGAGTACGACCGTCACTTTATACCTATTTCCGACATAAAAATGACCACAAGCCGCTTTTCACTAAAGATAATTCTACATAAAAACGGTACAAGGAAATTACCGTTTTTATGTAGAAATAGAAAGAATAAATAGTAAGGCCCGTCTTAAACTTAAAGATAACGGGATAGTTTGATACAGAGGCGCTCTAGCGGAGGGCGCGAATAAATCAATGCGCTCCACTTTCCTCCCCAATGATTAAACGCCCTGGCGAGGGTGAGCACGGCTCATTGAACATCCACATTTACATACATGCCCGCGTATGACGTTGAATGTTCCGACTTCGAGGAGCATGTTAATGCGATCGGCGTCAGCGACCTTTCAGCTCCCGTTTTTGTTGTTGTAGCGTTTATATCGTTTGACATGTGCGCTTTCCAAAAGATCGAACAGCGATTGTCTTTCAGTTTATGGTAAAGAAAACGGGCTCAAAGGTAGGATAATTTATGTTATAAAGACAAATTCGTGCGGCAATAGAAGGCTGATTTTATTAATAATTGCTTATATAAATAGATTTATATCAAGGCATATTTGTAGAGAACTGGAGAAGTAATCACTCCCATCATTGGCGAAAGCTGACGTAAATACAAAAAAAACCGGCCAAGTGCGCCACGCGAAAAAAATCATGTCTGTTGTATGGGAGCACTCTACTTAAATATTTTTTTTTCTGTTTTTTAGTATTTGTTGTATAGCGGCAACAGAAATACATCGTTCAAAGATCAAAATTTCACAACTGATTTGTTAATTTCTACGATGATACAGAAACCGGGCGTAGTGAATAAAATCATTACTTATCGAATGTAATTTGATGTCTCCGTCACGCCGTTGTCTAGGTATTGGCTTCGATTCCCGCACGGGACAACTACTTGTGGGACCCACAGATAATTGTTTCGGATTTGGGTATTTATCCACGTGAAATTATGTTTGTAAAACATCCTTAAAACACAGGATCATGTAATCCTACAGTACAAGCAAACAATTAGATTATCTTCTACATATTAATACGTGGAGCAATAAACTTTGTACCTCTTTTTACGAAAGTTGTGTGGACGGAGGAATATATAGAGTAGTAGCGCAGAATGCTAATATATTTTTTAATTATGTATTGTTAAAGTCTGTGGTCAAATTGAGACTAGATTAATATTGTTCAAACTTATAATTTAAATTAATTATGGTCGAATTTCGACCACTGGACGACCACTTGTCATAATAAATGTACCTAAAATTAATAAATTATTACTGCCTAATATCGACTATATCTATATCAGCAATGATTTCGAAACGTCATGGGAGATATAAACGTCAAGCGTTATAAAAGCACAGATGTAAATTTGTGAGTAGGTATATACGCCGAGTAAAAATATCATTTGATATATTTATTTATCAACCAATATACGAATGTTTGCAGCTATAGCTAATCTCACCAAACAAAACAGTGAAAATGCAACTACGGGAAAGCCTCCCGCGACAGATCGTGCGCTTCCGGCGTGTCGTTTCCGCCGTGACGTCATTCCGGATCCGCCCCAGGATCGGGAGAAAGATGTAATAATCAGATAGCCACAAATTATTTAGTTGATTACAGGACAAGGATTATTAAACAAACCAGTTGTCAAACTTTAGATTGTTGAACTATGTACATAAATAAAGGACAATTTCTCGATAAGATACTTTATCATATACTCGCCTTACCTATCAATATCATTCACATATTGTATCAAATTAATTTAAAAATATATTTTAGGAAAAATCTACCTTGAACAGCTTTCTTCTTTATCTACAAAAAATGCGGAAAAAACGACAATATAACACAAAAAACCGACCAATTACGAGTCGGACTCGCGCACGAAGGGTTTCGTGTCTACAAAAATGGCAAAAAAAATCATGTCTGCTGTATGGAAGCACCAATTTTTTAATTGTGTTTTTTGTAGTATTTCTTGTTATAGCGGAAACAGAAATACATCATCTGTGAAAATTTCAATTGTCTAACAATCACGGTTCATGAGATACAGCCTGGTGACAGACGGACAGACAGACAGCAGAGTCTAGTAATAGGGTCCCGTTTTACCCTTTGGGTACGGAACCCTAATAAAGCATGAATTATCTGTCCTATTCAAACCTATTTCGTGGCCACAGCAGACGCATCAATTTGTACGGAGAAACGGACCATTGTGCTCCGCACGAAGAACTGCTCGTAAACTTTTATTGTTCACTCGATATTATTAATATTTATTCGGAAAGTTGGCGGTCCGTTCCGCGATGGAAATGCAAGTCAGGAGTTGCCTTTGTTGCGATCGTGATTGATTCGCGTTAGCCGATCGTCACGGGACGAGCTTACTCAGGGTTTCATTGTTGTAAATAAAAACGAATGGTTATATCTCTTTGCAAATGGAGAGGTCAATTTATTAACTCGATCTCGAACATAATACTATATTACAGAGGCGCCGTCTTCTACTGCGTGATTTCAAACTTAAAAAAATATCTTGTTTTAGTTGCAATACTTAGTACACTTTCCCAAATAAAACTGTTATGGGATTGTGTTTTATCTTATTTGAGTTTGTTTAGAATATCTTAACATTTAGAAACTACTGGCTATTCGTTCCAAGTCCGTTCGAGTATGATGTAGTAATGAGAGAGTCTTTGCTGAATGATTGTACGTGTAATGATGATGCACACTACTTATATATACAGTACACTATTTTTAATCAAAAGAAAGATATCCTTCAAATACTTTTGAATTGGGAATATGATGATCTCACTAGTAGTAGTATGCGTAACGGCACGTGATAAAAAAATAAAAAAAAAGTCCATCACAGTTTATTTGGGTCTCTTGGTACAATCTAGCATGCCCTCATGCTGTAAATCTAATAAAGCTATTGGGATATATGTTGCGGATTTTATACAATATTTGTTGCGGTTTATAAACTTTTTTATGAGTGTACTTTCATGTGATAACTTTTCTCGTAGATTCATTTTATGAAGAAGAAGAAGAAGAAGAAACGTTTATTCACGGTCTAAGCACGATGGATACATACAAAACTTAAAAATAATGAAACTACACAGTATATAAAATAACATTGTAACATTTATCTATGTTTATGTAACAGACGAAGGCATTGTATTGTTCTTAGTGTTGTTCCTAAAACACTGGCAATTAGTTTGGCATCGGATTAAATTGGATCCGCGCGCAATTGGCGTTTTCCCCGTCGCCGGCCGCCCTTGGGTTTCACCCCTTCAAATGCCCCCCGGGGTCTCATAACATTTGTTATTTTAACCATTAACAACATTTTAATTGTCGCCGCTCCGCCAAATTGCCGCGACGCCTGGGCACCGAATCCCAGACAGGGAATGTTGTTTCAAGTAAGTGCCAACGATGCAAAGGCAGCCCGCCTCAGAGCCAAGTTTATTTTGAAAAAATATTTACATTGGGAACGGAGTTGCAAATTCAAATAAATAGGGTTGTTTATTTTAGGGTTGTTTTCAAGCTTTTTTTTTTGTTGCTTAAAACGTATCCAAATTGATGGCTTCCCGCGTACGGTTCTATAACAATATATCATTCATGCCCCTTTAATTATAGAAAGGAATTAAAAATACGATAATTGACGACTGAATGTGGTTTGATCTTTCTCAGTGTCAGTATTTAATCAAATTCTTGTTGTATTAAATATAATTTACTAAATAAAGCAATATTTAGGTTTCTACATTTCCAAACTTTAAAAAAACGAGATATGTTTGATCTTATCCTTTGTTTCTGTATATTATTATTACTTCTCAAAGGTGTTTTTGTCGGTATGCCGAAACTTCCATAATTCCTAATTAATATGATTCTAACACCATTTACAAATTTAAATTTACCGCTATTGATCAGAATAAAGGTAATAAATTCATAAAAAAACGTCTTAAAAATTTGTTATAAAGAATATATGATAATGCTCATCTAAAATACTTATTTACACAGAATTAAAATATAACATTTAAGTGGAATATTAATATAATATAAATTAATATAGTAAATAAATTAATATAATATAAATTGAATAGATTTTATGTAGACATTGAGATGATGAGGTTATCAGAGCCAATGTACAAAGCCGAATCTATCTTTAACCTTTTTGCTGTATGATGTTTGTATTTACGATCGTTACGATTACTCAGTCAAAGAGCCCGCGAAAATACTGTCTCCATGTGATAATTCTTATCTAACAACAGTTATGCTATTTCGTGGCTGACAGGAAATGTAAAAAGCTTTACGAGGTCTTTGGTTCGCTAACAGTTTTTGTTACTTTAATGAAAGTACATCGTTATACAATTGTAAAAACTTAATTGTTAGCAAGGACCGACCAGTTCTAGGAATTAATCATCATCTTGGGAGCCATCGAGGCATACGTATGAATTGTGTTACGAAATGTAAGGCATTTTTCATCTCAAAATGATGCAAAATTTTGTTGCAGCCATTTATTTTATGACTTAATTGTACCTTGGGGGTGCCACATAAAATTGTTTCTAACTAAAGTATTTTATAATAATATTTTCTTTGGTATACTCTAGTTTTCTTTAACGACTATCGACCCGCCGACGTTGCACGGGAAGCACTTATCAAAAAAAATATGGTCCAATCGCTACCAAACATCACAGGATCACCCAAAGGGCTAAACTGAAGATTGGCTGAAAATATTACCAAAAACTGTCCAACAGTTTTGAAATACATACATACACACAGATTTTTATATTTACATACAAGATGATGTATAGTATTCGCATAAACACATAAATTATAATATTTAATTAAACCGTACATTGACATTTGATATTGGCTCAAATTGAAATGCTAAATACGGTATTTATTGCTGCTCATGAACAGTCAAAATACGAGAGATGTTGTGAAGAGTTGTGACAACTACAGAGAGCGCGGTCAAAACGCAAATCCTTCCTCTTGAATCACTCTATCTAGTAAAAAACAGCATCAAGACCCGTTGCGTATGCGTTACGTTTTAAAGATCTAAGCATACATAGGGATAGACAGAGCGGGACGACTTTGTTTTGTACTATGTAGTGAAACTTTTATTGCTCTACCACAATAAAACACTTTCATTGAAATGTTTTTCTGTTTTAGGTTCGTTGACTACAAAAACCATTAAATTATCATCTTGGGAATGATTAATACATTCCAAACAAAAATAGTGAAGACCCTTTCTATTCTTTGTCTTCAAAATGGCGCGAATATTTTGTTCCTACCATTATTGTCGTAAAGTAATTATGAGGGTGCGGTTTTAATGAGTGTTCGAAACGAGTGACAGTTAATGACTGGGAACTATTATAATTTTTGCACATGCGATCTTTTTATATTTTTTTGTAACTGTATGATTTATTTCTATTTGTTTCATCGCAATAAAACTTTCGACGATGACTGTACTGTGTGACTGAAAAAATGTAGAACTTGTTTTTGATAAAAAAGTGCACCTAAGCGAAAAATCATCTTCATTATGTGTGCTCGGCGGTAAAATAAATATGTATATTTGAATAATATTTTCAAAAACATAATAATAAATATTTCGAAGTTTTTTAAAATCAGCCAATCCACAGAGGATTCATTCTACCATCTGTAGAGAGACTAGCAATAGGACATAGGTATATAGGCTGGTTCAGGATTTTGTAAATTAATAAGCAAGAATTTTCGTCAGTTTTTATCATTACACTTTGATTAAATTAATCATAAATGCCTGCTCTATTAACAAAATTTTAACAGATTTTTTATTTCTCTTTTATTTTATAGACTAAAAACAGGTAAAAGGTTAGTATGGATGTGACCCTCTTTTGCTGAAATCACTCTTTATAGTTTCTTACGTTACACGTTCCCACCAGTCGATAAACACATTCATTAGCATTCTGATGGTCTTCCAACTGCACTGCTCTCTTTAGATCCTCCCCGACATGCTCTATGGGATGCCCATGGAATGAATGGACGCTCAACGCCCAGCCGGCCAATTCGGCGATGAATTCCGACCTTCAATGCTTTCATTTGACGACCCGATTGGCCTAATGGGTGGTGACCCTGCCTCTTGCGCCAGAGGGTGTGGGTGCTCTAGTATCCGTTGCTTAGCGTTACTTAGTTTGGGACTAGGAAACGTGTAAAAAATGTGTCCATTTTGTCACGCCGGTGGGCACCAGCGTTTTCATCCATAAAAATTGAGTTTTCGCAAAGAGCCGCTAATGCAGGTTGTGCATGAGGAGTTAGAACATCCACCATGTATTGGTGTGCGTCAATATACCGTTTTCGCCGACTCATATGATCCAAAGAATTTTTAACTGCAGCCACCATAAAGCGTAATTTCTACAAAACATGATTTTCTTAACCGCACAGTGACCTTCTTAACAGTAACTCCACCTTCAATCCATGACACAAAATATCAAGCGAAGCTAACTATGACAACTTAATGCAAACAGAGTAATTTACAGCCAAGTTCCTGGCGACCATAGGCTAACATACTCTTAGTCCATTTAGGTGACTTGAGATCCACAAACGCAGACTTGTGAAATCTCAAACATTGAGCTCACCCAAAAACGAACATACCGTGGTTTACAATATGGTTTTCTTCCACAATCAGACCTTCCCAAGGAACCGGTCTTTTGATAGCGTTGTTAGCGTCTTTTGCAATATTAAAGGATTCACATTTAATCACTGAAGTGTTGTTGTGTGTTTTATCGTTTTCTATCAATTTCAAGAACACCGAACAGCAATAATAATACATTGAAAATGTCAAGGTAATGTTAAAATCTGCCATTAAAAAATATGAAATTGGAACGTACTTTTTTGACACTACGGCTTTTTTGTAAGATTTTTTTTAGACAAAAACAAATGAAAACCACCCGTTTTATAAAATAACATCATATTGTCGAAACAATGTGTACGCACATAAAGCACTAAAACATGGTTAAATATTCGTCTGTTATTTTATTTTTTGATATAAGTAGGTACATAACAAACTTTCCTAAGATATAAATTTCTACAGTAGATACGTACGTAAATTTTAATAGATTTTAGTATCGGAATTAAAATGAAAGTTTCCCGATATCGTTCCCCAATATAGTATATTGTGTAACAGATGATAGGGTAGATACAATGCTCGTAAAGTTCTGTCTATTTGGTATGATTTACGACAAGATCCCCGCGGCTGGGGGAGCCAAGATGACTTGTCTTATATCCCGGCTAATGACAAACTTTAGACATTTTTATTTGTTCGCGAAACAGTGTGGGGATATCATAGTATATAAAAGATGGCTGCTTTTATAGAAGTAAGTCTATGGCAATTTTATGTAAATAACTTATTTCTTAAACGAATTGTTGAACGAAAATATGAGCGGTAGGTAACGTTCTTTGTATAATACAGCTTTATTTAGAGCTTTGTGGAAACTCATTATTTAAATGTGCTGTTATGGAGTGTCAGCAATTTCTTCAGTTGCATAAATGGATCGGTTAATCTGGTGAAATACCCGGAGAGAACTTCTTTGGACAGACTGGTGTCAAAGAGAAGTGTTTAGTGTGACTATCACTCGTCTTTTGGCATCAGACATCAGGCATCAGGCATCAGTCGGGTCGTTAAAGATTACCAACGCAACGGCAACTCCACGGGTGCTGTAGATATCCAAGAGTGATGGTAATCTCATAACAAAAGATAATGAGTTTTTACCAGTTTCTCCCGGAAAAATACCGATGTCAGTCACAACAGTTGACAATGTGGAGTCAATGCTTAAATTATATTTAATTAAATTTAAACTTTTTTTACGCATAATTTGAAACTCTAAAGTGTTAAGCTAAAATAACGTAATTAGTATGACAATTATCACACTATATGCATATGCGCAATATAATATAAAGACAAAGTAGTAATTTACTCTAAAATCATCAAAAACCTATCAAATGCAGTAGTAATAAAATAATGTCATTGTCAAACATACACGTAACCCATTAAATAGATGAATAACAATGAAACAATTAATAAAGATAATAAGTAACAATGGCCACGATGGAGTAAGTATTTTTACAGTTTACGATTATTAAGTAATTATTAATAAATAATTATTACTTAATTTTATTAAGATAATCAAAATTGAGAAAAAAGCGTTTGAAGCATTGCTGTATTTATAACTCTAAACAATAAAATCGCATAAAATTATGAAGCATATAGTGCTAATATACAACTTGAAAACTTCTTCATTAGATAACGCGCGCATAAGTACATGTTTTACCCCGCCTTACCCAGCGGGGAGGGTCGTGTCAGGCTCGTGGAATCTGGGTTTTCCACGAACTCTGCGTTAAAGATATAAAAGGTGATAACAAAATTTCAATAAATTTTTCCTCATACGTTACCTACATGTACAGAAAACAAATTGACTGCCTCCGAATACACTCGTCTAGCCTGTTCTAAGCACTGGCGCTTTCGCCGACAATTAAACGAATTGCGAATCCATAACCTGACATATTTATGTGACAATGCTTTTAATGAACAACTCCATAAAATTTATGGTATCATAAAGCGTTGTAAGCGTTTCATTATGTCGACATTAAGATTGTCCGAAAACCAATAAACATATATAAAACGAAAGATGTAAGTACTGTTGTACTGATTATCGCCCAATTAATTATTATTTTTTAAGTAGAAAGCATTACCTTATACTACAGTATTTTTATGCGAGATGGTGGCAAGCGAACATGCGGTACACCGTTCACCTGATGTTAAGCGATAAGCATAAACATCTTTTTTTTTATGTGAAAAGTTGCCAAACAAGCAGATGGTTCACCTGATGTGAAGTGAATACCGCCGCCCATGGACATCTGCTACACCCGAGGGTTACAGATGCGTTGACAACCTTTTGAAAATTGGGCTCCGGCTACCTCACTCACCAGACGAAACGCGAAAGTATTTGCCATACTTCCACTTAACGCTGGTCCAACGTGGTAAGTACCACGACCTCACAGAAGTGAGGTCGTGGTACTTACCCGGACGGGCCTGCCCATTCATGCAACAGCCGAGGCTGCTGCGTGGCCCTACCACCGTATGGGTCACATCTTCCACACCCGTAGGGTTGCCTTTTAATAAAGTGTATGCTACAATAACATTATCCTTTGTTTAAGTGACGTTTTCAACACAAATTTTCACAGACAAACACTACGCTTAGCAACTGCACCAACTAAGCCATCAGAATTGATTTAATTGAAATTTCAAATACTTATATTTGTAGAAAAAAATATTCTCTTATACTGTAAAAACATGTATTAACATCTTTCTTTTCAGTATAATCGAATAGCTTTTGGAGGTAGATAACTTTATGAGATATCTGAAATAAGACATCTGAAATAATATCCCTTATATAGAAAATCAGTCAATATTATATACATCTTAATTGATTTTCCTTTTGTCATCGATTTCCATTGTCGTTGTTGGAAAAATACGTAAATCCCAATGCATACAAGCTTCCTAAAAGTGTCCTCTCGAACAAATGCGATACATTGCATAAAATGACCCAGTCGTAAGCTTAAGTATTAGTCCAATATCTCAGGATTACTGTTCACCGTCCTATATACGAGGGCCGGAAAATCTGTTATGACATGCCGAAGCAAATACGTCATCGCGGATAGAGAGGGCGTCGTAACACTTAACTTGATTAATCCGCCCCGATAAGCGTGAACGCAAACCGTTATCCACTTTTGGATCCTGCTCATATCAAATGGAGTTTTTAACTGGAAGTGTTGCCAATTCAATTTGTTGATGTAGCGGCAACCGGCGTTATTGTTTTGTCAGTGCTTTGCATTTTGTTAGAAACTCTGCTGATAAGTGAAACGTAGGGAATTAGTTCTGCTATTAATTTTCGTAATGTCTGAAATTCCGAAATAAATAGGACAACGTTATAATTTATTTCTTTTACGCGAATAATAACATTTATTAAACAGGTTTGGTGACTCCGTGGCGCAGTCGTCAAGGTATTGGCTTCGGCGTCGGAGGTCGTGGGTTCGATTCCCATACGGGACAACTATTTGTGTGACCCACAGATAGTTGTTTCGCATCTGGATGTTTGTCCACGTGAAATTTATGTATGTAAAACGTCCTTGCAACACGGGATAATGTTATCCTAAAGTTAGGGCGATGTTTTTAAAAAAAAATGTGTATAACGAGGTACACCATCCGTTTTATACAGAAGTGTAGCAGATGTATTGTGAATGTGGTCTCTCTTATATTAAAGGAAAAACAATAGCTATTAAAACTCACGTTAAAGAACATATAAATCTACATCATATGAAGCATCGTCGGTAAAGGAGTCTATTATTTTTGATCAAACAATAGACTACCATTATATCAAACTTGATAACCGAACATACAGACATATAAAACTACTAAGATAGTAGTTTATTACCTACTTTTAAACGATAGGCCACAAAGAAAAAGTGAAATCTGTTGAAATATTTATTCCAATAATGTAAAAAATTTAAATATTTATAAATATAAAAATTAATGAAACGTTCACTGTGAAGTTATTTTATGAGCCTCATATATTCGCCAACTCTAAGTCAAAGCACCGTTACGGGTTCCAAACTAATGTACCGGACGCATGTAACATGAAAACTTTATTCAGTGTGTCTGTACTAAAATGCATCCAAGTTATTCGAATTTGACTTGTATAGCTTTACGAATAGGTATTATTTTGGCTTAAATCTGTGCATGAATCAGCCTGTGTTGAAGCAATTCGATTCGGTAGAAAATGTAATGGCACGTTCGGAAATAAAAATTTTGCAATAACATTTTTGTTAAAGCATTACGATTATACTTTTAAAACTATTTTTTAATGTGAAATGTTGCCAAGCGAGCAGGCGGTTCACCTGATGTTAAGTGAATACCGCCTATGGACACCCGAGGGTTGCAGATGCGTTGACAACCTTTTGAAAATTGGGCTATGCCTAACTCACGAAATGCGAAAGTATTATACTTCCACTTCATGCCTGTCTTCTGTGTGGTCGTAGTACTTACCCGGATGTGGTAGTTGGTACTTATTCGTGCAATAGCCGAGGCTGCTGTGTGGCCCTACCAAAGTAAAAACTAAGGTTTTAATGTTTTAAATTACTGTTTTTAAAACACCGCACACATTTTTAATATATTTCCTTCTATATTCAGTTTTCCGTAAAAAACCCTAGAAGACTGACAAATTTGGGAACAACCAAAATGAGAGCATATTCTTTCTAGAAAGGCCGGTAATGCATTTGCAAGTTCTCCGGTGTTACATTTGTTCATGAGCCGCGGTGATCACTTTCCATCAGTTGAGCCTCCTGCTCGTTTGCCCCCTTTTTCCATTAAAAAAAAAAACATTATTAAGTAACTCAAGAGACAATATCTATTAATATATATAATCTGAACGCGCATCTATCGTCCTATTATTGTCAAAACACGTAAACACGTCAAAGCCGTGCCAAATCTTATGTCAATAGCGAAAATTTTCTGCGAATTTCAACCGGCGCGATGAAGGCGGCCTGCATAATACTGACGATCATTATTTTCGTCGCCATAATGGCCGTCTGTGTGATGGTGAAGTTCGCCACCGAAATCACCGTTGAAGACAGGAAGAGGGAGTACATGCCGGGTAACGGGGGCGTCTACGAAGTGGCGAAGTCAATCGGCGTGTTCGCGCTCAGCGACAACAACACGACACCGATCGCCGAAAGGTTCCCCTACGTGGCCGCCATCACTAGGAACTCCTCCAACTCGTGGTCGTTCGCCTGCTTCGGGAGCGTGATCCTGGTCAAGTGGGTCGTCACCTCAGCCCACTGCCGCCGGCCCGGGGCCACGCACAGGGTCCTCCTGCTGCACAAATACATCAAAAACTACACGCACACGTACCCGATTCTGTTTTGGCGCATCAACGACAAGTACAACACGAGCGTGCCGTCCGCCGTCAACGACATCGCCGTCGCCAAGCTGAACCTGGACGCGCACCCGTCCATCTCCAAGTCCTCGCTGATCGACAGCGGCGCGGTGAGGGAGGTCGAGGCGACAATATGGAAGACGGTGTCCACGATGGCCCGGCAGGTGTACCTGACGAATCACTTCGACAAGTTCGACGTGAAGATCACGCTGCCGCACAGGTGCTTGGAGAGCTACGGCGTGAAAATGGACCCCAGCCTGATCTGCGTCGACCTGTCGGACTACGAGGACTGTTTCGTTCACGAGTTCGGCCCGATATACTCCGGTGACAAGTTGGTCGGGATCCTCGCGATGAAGCCGCGGGATTGCGACCTGAAGTTGGCTATCTTCACCAACGTGTCGTACTACGCGGATTGGATTATGAGGATCACGAACGCTCCCCTGTACGGATAAACGTTGATTAAATACGATTGACTGTTTTCTCATTATGTGGCATGGTGCGTGATTACAAATAATCTCATTCCTAGCTCCCTTCCTCAGTGCTGGGCTTAGGTTTCTCCAAGCGCTAATCGTCCCGAACGCTCGCAACTAGCTGCTGCCTTACACGGATCTTCCATCTGGGCAGGTAGAATTTATGCGTTGTAAATTAAAAGTAATTAATAAATAACAAAATTGTACGTCACCATAAACAACGGCGTGTACTAGCCTTTAATTTTAATTACAATACTAAGAAATATGATTATAATAATTAATTTGTTACTTACCACGAATCCTGATGCAAATGCTCAAATGACTGCGTAAAATATAATAGCCCATCAACATACATTAATTCCAAATTTAAAATACGGAGATTTGAACTAATTGAATTTAAGAGTGCACATGCGTGGAAGTAATAAATTAATATAATAATTAATTAATTTCATTAAACATTTTTTTTTCACTTGGCTTAATATTTACACTTTATTTCATATTTCAGTTGATGGCGCTTATATGGAACCGAATAGACGCTCGACTCTTACATAGAAACTACTTAGTTATTTCAAACCGGGTTGTGCTTGTTTAGAGTTATTCTTAGACATAACATTTCAAACCAAACTGTTTTAAATCATTGCGATCGCTGAAATAATATACATATTTTTACCCTATATATTATTTTCTTCGTTGATCATAAATTATAACAAATAATTTAAATATTAATTATAAATAAATCTTAATTTATAAGTCTAAGGCACGCGCAATAGTGTTAGTGTCGGAAAAAATAATGCTGTTGTAAGAAATAATAACATGAACTAACACCTAGAGATGCAGTTATTACTTGTGGATCACAAATACTAGTCCTGAGTGAGAATCGAGCCCACGACCAACAGCGCCGAAGCCATTAATCTTAGTGACTGCAATGGAGACACTATCATAAACCACCTTACGACGCATAAATTTGTTAAGAATGGTAATCGCGTCCTAATGCAATTTACTCCGAAAGGTCATAGTTACTCTAGCTGAATAGAGAAATTAACTTAAATATTTCCACCACTATTAGGACAAGACCGCGCAAATATTGACGGGATTATTGATTTGTTAAGTGCCATTTAGGCTGAGGGGGACATTTACAGAGACTTATTAACGCAAGATATGCCTTTTATGTTGCTTCCAAATTTTTTTAGAAAATAAAAACAGTAATACAAAATGTTGTCACAAAATTGAATTCGTCTCCGTCTTGGATTAACTATTAGTTTTTCAAACAGATATACTAGCAGGGCCGTGCCTGACGGGCGTTCATTGCGTGCACCGCACGCAGGCGGCCGAAATTAAGAGGCGGCCAAATCGTTACAAGTTGTTTACTGGGCAAAAATACAATCGGTTTGTTTTCATTAAGATACGAAGTAAAAACAGTTTCTCTAATCTAATCTATCTAAAAAGAGTTTCTCAGAAATAAGAAATGTATAAAAACTGATTAGGTCGTTGTAGTATTTATATAGCTAGTCATGCAGCGAATCCGAATTTTTTCGAACATTGCACGAGCGACGAGCCGAAATAGTTTTTTCAATTGACCGGCGTCGCGTAAGCGCTCTTATTCGTCTTATTAGTCGTATTAGTCTATAGACTAGCGAGGATAAATCGTTATTTGTGTCCTGTGTGTGATCCGATATTATTAAATTCTTTAATTTAACGAATAAAAATAAATTGCTTAATTCCTGAAAACTTTTAGTTGTGTGTTCGTGTGGTGAAATTTAATAAAAAGTTTATTTATCGTTCTCGATTTCGAAAGTTTTCTCGATTTAAAAAGTTTTTTTATCTTTCTCGATTTCGGTTAACCAAAAACTGATTTTTTTCCCGGTTTGATGCCCTGTGTAAACATAAAAAATTTAAAACATAAACATTAAAAATTAAAGTAGTTTTTTTTAATGTTATCCTGGGGGCGGCCATACAGACTGGCACGCAGGCGGCCATATACCCAGGCACGGCCCTGTATACTAGATACATAAACTTAGTTCATATAGTTCATATATACATAGATATACTTAGTTTATAAACAGATGTCCTGGAAACCGGAGTTTTTATTGTTTTATAGTTTAGATTATCCAATAGAGGCCACGTGTTTGCTTTATAATTTTATCTAGCTTTTTAGTTATTTAAGGAGTCAGTACCTACAGGTCTAGGGGGTTGTGTAGATTAATAGTTTGTGGTTTGGTAGCTTTTGAATTTCCTAAGTGCGAAAATCATTGTCTCACATTAATGTCTTGCACTGGTTTATCTTGTCATGTCATGGTTACTATGACCATTGAAAATTCTATACAGTTACGTACCTGTTATGCAGCAGTTTCGGAATTTAGTAGAAGTTGTGGATACAAAACGCTATTGTAGAAATTTTATTGACATATTTTTAGAGAAATTATTTCCAACTTGAGGTAGTTAAAAAGTCCAGTGTCTCACGGATTAATTCCCTCTATCCAATAGAAGGAATTAATCCGTCACGGGATCCGACTGCGGATTGGCAGACTTTACTTCGAAACAAATATATTTTTTATTATTTCTAGGATATTCAGTTTTCTTCACGACATATTCCTTAGCCTAACAATGAAAGTACTGAAAATTGGGATTTAAGCTAAGATTGCTCGAGTAGACTGAATCGAAAGAGAACACCCAACCACTGAGCTACTACGGTTTTAAATATTAACATTTTAACTGATATTTCATTGAATTTCTTCGGCACTTCCAGTAGTTTTATTAATCTGATCTCTAAACATAGACCTATTTGTAAAGATTATAGTAATACATTGCATTCCTTCGTCGTGGTAACTCAAGATCTGTCTTGTTTGGCAAAAATGTGTAGTGATGTCGTCGAGCAAATGAGCATGTAATGCAGGTATCTAAAATTAAGCTAAGTCAAATTAAAGAACGAATAAACGATAAAATACTTCAACAGACGGATTCTGACACATTGTATTAAACTCATTTAAATAATTATCATCTTGACTGTTGGCTACCTCTAAAAATTGAAAATAGTGATTAAAATTCAGAATATTTTTTGACGCGAAGTTTTTTTAAGTAAACAACTGGCAAGAGAACAGGTGTTTCATCAATGTTAAGTGATTACCGCCGTTCATGGACATCTAAAACACCTAAGAGGTTGTAGATGCGTTGACAACCTTTTAAAAAGTTGGCCCCATTCACTTTACTTACCGAAGACCGAGACGAAAGTATAATGCTTAAAAGTATAAAATACGAAGAGATAATACTTCCACCTCAGGTCGGTCTCCTGAGAGACCGTGATACTTTCCCGATCGAGACCGCGCATTCGTGCAAATCACTTCGAATATCAAAGCGACCATAAACAGACTCGAATCACACACATAACGGATAAGAATGTACATTTTTAGTTATCTGTAACGCAGCGGGAATCACTTCGATCTCGGCGAATTGCAAACATGAAAAAGTCCCGTCGTGATGTTTATCTGAATTACGCTTAAGCGCAAGAACTCGCGCCGACTGCGCACCACATCCAGCCCCATGGTAAAATCATTCATTTTATTTTGTCTACATTTAGATCGCGCGCCTTTTATTGACATGTATATAAAGCTTTCTCACACAGATCAATACAGAGTACAGAGATTATTTTTTAAAATTATGATCTTCAGCTTAAATGTCTTGATTTTCGGATTTTTTTAAGAAAAAAATAAAAGCGTTTGAACTTTAAGCTTAAAAAATTACTTTCTATTTAAACTTTAGGTATAAAAAGCTTGCTTAAAAATCAATAGGTATTTTATTCAGAACTTTGTTAGTAAAATCATGTTTCGGAAACAAGTAAGTGCAGACTCTCGTTGAATACCAATATTGGTTCTACACATAAATTGTAGGATTTTTCATCGTTAGCATTGGCGAATAGGAGTGTCACTCAGGCTCTGCGGTAAATTTAATCTGTGGCGAAACAATCGGTCACGTAACTAGAGAAATAGTAACAAATGCGATAGTCGGGAGGGCCACAATCTTTTATTGCATCTAGATATCCTCGCTAGTGGGGAATGTTGTGATTCATGGGTGAGTAGAGAGTGATTTATAAGCAAGCGCCCCGCCGCTTCGAGAGCCTGGGTATATCGAGTGTGAACACGGCAAGCGGAAGATCCGTAGGGTAAAAAAAAAACACTCGAGACGTTATTAATACTAGGGGCATTTAACACGAGTCAAAGAGACTAGAAACTTTTTAGCACTTACTATACTTGCACGGGTTAAATAGCCTGGTTTTAAGAACACTGCGTGACGTGGTGTGGTACATCAGTTGCTGAATGAATCTTAAGTGCTTGCAACAAATACATTTTAAGTGCTGACGTATCTCGTGCTCGGTGGCGAAGAAAATATCTGAGGGTTTTTCACTAATTAGTGCATAGGTAATATAGGCAATATAGGTAATATAGGTAATATAGGCAGCATACCTATGCAATATTAAAAAAATATTTTTAAAATATGCGAAGTCTGCTAATATCTAAATTTACAGTTGAGAAATAGTCGTGATGTTATCAATCTTTAAATTGAGATTGTTTATAACTTACTTTTCTAACGAAACAGCGTTGTATGTTTTCGTTTGTCACCCTTATGCATCGAGTTAAACTGACGGAGGGATAGACAGAGTTATGAATATTTTTATTGCCAAGCGAGGGGAGTAAAGTCTATTTTCACAATCACTCTGATTGAGGCGCTAAATGTAAGCGCGCTGACATTTAAACTGAAAGACGAAAAACTATTATTTCATTAGTGTTAAAAGGGTGTAACGTAGTATGTACTTTTCGTAAGAATCAACATAAAACAAATTCGTTTTCTGATATAAAATTAGTTTCACCGATGGTATCAAAGTGTACTATGCATTTATATTACCAGCTTACTTCTTAAATTGGTTGTGGTATCTAATGGTCCAACGATTTATGTAAATACTACATATTTCATTAAGAATACTTTAC